TATAGCGAACAAAATAAACAAATAAACAAACTTCCTCTTTTATATATATATAGATAAATTTAGCAAAATAATCTTCTAATGCATTTGATTTATGTTTTAGTTTTTTTTCTTCTATAATTAAATATTCAATTCTACCCCGTGGTTCAGTGGCAAATGGAAAGGCTTATAATACTAACAATCTGGTTTCGATACCCGTGTGGGCACAGCACAGATGACCAATTGTGTACTCTTGTGCTTGACAATAAACAAATAATTTAAATATTCGACTGATGGTTGGAAATAATTTTTTAATTGTTGTCTATAAGATGAGCCAATTATAGGGTCTAGAGAAACTTTAAACATCTTCAATATTAAATCTAGTGAACAACAAGACAATAAACAAATAATTTAATTATTCGACTGATGGTTGGAAATAATTTTTTAATTGTTGTCTATAAGATGAGCCAATTATAGGCTCTAGAGAAACTTTAAACATCTTCAATATTAAATCTAGTGAACAACAACAAACAAACAAAAAACAGCGGAAATATGAAGTCATCGAAATATAAATTAATTATCTTATGTTCTGATTGACTAATCCTATTCAGTTCCTACATACAAAACTTCCTAAGTGCTGGTTTATTAATACATAATATTTTTTTCGTTAATATTAGAATGTATTTAGAAAATCCTGACTTACATTTATCAACAGGTATCACTTACAGTGATACCTATCTGTCAAAGTTGTAACATAAGTTTACAAAGAATAGTCAAGAAATATTTAAATATTAATCGTAAAATATATTTTGAAACCTATCATAAGAAATGTTTTACTAAATAACAAAATTATGTTATCACGTGACAATACGTACTGTAGGGAGAAAAAGGTCACATACATTACTATTTCATAACTAACAATCTTACTGCTGTCCCACACGGGAACTGTCAGCGGTAAGTCTTTTTTGTTTATTTGTTTTGAATTTCGCGCAAAACTGCTCGAGGGCTATCTGTGTTATCCGTTTTATTAAATATGATATAAGACGATTGCCTCATTTAATAAATGTATGTTCATTAATGTAGTTCATGTAATATATTAAATGCACAGATGGTCCCTTAGAAGTTAAATCCCTTATAACTCGTTTTTTTTTTTTTTTAAGGATTAAGCCGATTGGCTCTGACGTGTCTCGCCTGCGGTGTTTCATTGCCACCTGGAGGTTAAAAGTTTCCTTGCATGTACGTAGAGAAGGAGGGATAGAACGAGGAGGGGTAGGTTAGATTTGTTTGATACTTTCACCAGCTGAAGCAAGAATCTAGGTTACAATCAACATAGGTGAAATGGCAGCTATCATTTGGGTCAGTGGATAAGACTGGTTTTTCCACCCGATAGTGAATTTTTACCTTAAGTCAAACTTGGTTAGGCTTAGTTGCTGTGAAAACGAAAGAGACAATAAACGATATAAAACGAACGCAGGTGCAATATGATAAAA